GAGGGGGGGTTCTCTGCACCTCCTGGATTTTGATGCTTGTTCCCTTTGCCATATTAGGGAAATTCTCTACAATAATTCTCTCCAATATACCTTCAGCTCCCCTCTCTCTTTCTTCTTCTTCTGGAATCCCAATTATTCTAATGTTGTTTCATCTTATGGTGTCATTTATCTCTCGAATTCTCCCCTCGTGGTCCAGTAGCTGTTTGTCCCTCTTTTGCTCAACTTCTTTATTCTCTGTCATTTGGTCTTCTATATCACTAATTCTTTCTTCTGCCTCATTTATCCTAGCAGTATTTTTTTATTGTACCTCATTAATAGCTTTTTTTTATTTCAACTTGGTTAGAGTTTAGTTCTTTTATTTCTTCAGAAAGGGCTTTTATCTCTCCAGAGAGGGTTTCTCTAATATCCTCCATGCCTTTTTCAAGCCCAGGTAGAACCTTGAGAATCGTCATTCTGAACTCTAGATCTGACATATTACCAATTACCAATGTCTGTATTGATTAGGTCCCTAGCCTTCAGGACTGCCTCTTGTTCTTTATTTTGTGGTGAGTTTTCCCGCCTTGTCATTTTGTCCAGATAAGAGTACATGAAGGAGCAAATAAAATACTAAAAGGGCGGAAAAGACCCCAGGAAAATGCAATTTAACCAAATCAGAAGAGACCCCAAATTGTGGGGGGGAGAAAGGGGATTAAAAAGAAATTCAAAGAAAAAAAAATTAAAAAAAGAAAACAAATAAAGAAAAAATATAAAAATGAAAAAAAATAAATAATTAATAATTAAATATATATATATATTAGGTAAACTAGTTAAAAAACGTTAAAAAAGAAAAGGGTAAAAGTTAAAAAAAATTAGCAGAAGAAAAAAAAATAAAATTTAAAAAAATTAAATTGACCTCAATACTAAAGAATCATGGGGAGAAAGCCATGAGTTCTGTGCTTTGCTTTCTCCTCCTCTGGAATTCCGCTGCTCTCCTTGGTAAGTGAACTTGGTCTTGGCTGGATTTCTTGTTGATCTTCTGGGGAAGGGGCCTGTTGTAGTGATTCTCAAGTGTCTTTGCCCGAGGCAGAATTGTACCACCCTTACCAGGGGCCCGGCTAAGTAATCCACTCGGGTTCGCTTTCAGGAGCTTTTGTCCCCTGAGCACTTTCCGTAGAGTTCCGGAGGACGGAATGAAAATGGCGGCCTCCCAGTCTCTGGCCCAGAGGAGCCGAGAGCTCAGGGCCCCACCCCTCAGTGCTCCCTCAGAGAAAAGTGCCCAATCACTCCTGTCTCCCTGGCCTCCGGCCGCGCTCCAAGCTCACCGGGCCTGCGACCAATTCAAGGTCACCCCGAGCTGAGAGCTCACTCCTCAGCTCTGTCTCTATAGCCGGCTTCCCCGTTCTAATACCTGCGAGCTCTGCAACACTCAGACACCCCCGATCCTTCTGTGACCCTGCGGGACCTGGGGCCACGCTGACCCTGCGTGGGCTTCACCCCGGTTTAGCCTCTGGAGCGATGTCCCTCAGCGGAACAGACTTTTAAAAGTCCTGATTTAGGGGCACCTGGGTGGCTCAGTGGGTTAAGCCGCTGCCTTCGGCTCAGGTCATGATCTCAGGGTCCTGGGATCGAGTCCCGCATCGGGCTCTCTGCTCAGCAGGGAGCCTGCTTCCCTCTCTCTCTCTCTCTCTGCCTGCCTCTCTGTCTACTTGTGATCTCTGTCAAATAAATAAATAAAATCTTTAAAAAAAAAAAAAAGTCCTGATTTAGTGCTCCGTTGCTCCGCCGCTTACCAGGAGCTGCCCCCCGCACCCCACCCCACAGCGGTCTATCTTCCCATCGCTTTGGATTCACTTCTCCGCCAGTCCTACCTTTCAGAAAGTGGTCAATTTTCTGTTTCTAGAATTGCTGTTCTTCTTCTGTTTGATCTCCTGTTGGATTTGTAGGTGTTTGCAATGGTTTGATAAGCTATCTAGCTGATCTCCTGCTACCTGATATAGTCTCAGCCTGCTACTTCTCCGCCATCTTGACTCCTCCTCTAGTTTTTATTTTTTTGACAGGGAGAGACACAGTGAGAGAGGGAACATAAGCAGGGGGAGTGGTAGAGGGAGAACAGGTTTCCCATGGAGCAGGGAGCCCAATTGGGGGCTCGATCCCAGGACCCTGGGATCATGACCTGAGCTGAAGGCAGACACTTAATGACTGAGCTACCCAGGCGCCCCACAATTTCTTTTTGGATAGAAGGATAATGAGTGGGAATAGCTGATGACTACCATTTCAACAACTTGCCACACACCCTTCACTTATGGTCACTATGTTTTTGTTTTGTATTTTTTAATTTTACTTTATTTTATTTTATTTTAGTTCTTTTCAGTGTTCCAGAATTGGTCACTATGTTTCTTAAGACAAAATACATAAATAAATAGGGGCACCTGGGTGGCTCAGTCCTTAAGCGTTTGCCTTTGGCTCAGGTCATGATCCCAGGGTCCTGGAATCAAGCCCCGCATCAAGCCCTCATCAGGCTCCCTGCTCGGGGTGAGCCTGCTTCTTGCTCTCCCTCTGCCTGCTGCTCCCCTTCTGTGCTCTCTCTCACTGTGTCAAATAAATAATAAAATAATAAATAAAATAAAATAAATAATAAAATCTTTTTTAACAATAAAATAAATAAATAATAAAAAATTTTTAAAAGGAACAAAGAAAAAAAATTTTCTCTTTCAATGAAAAATAACCACCCCATAAGGAAGGAAAAAATGAAACCAGATGGGATTGGGAGGGAGACAAACCATAAGAGACTCTTAATCTCACAAAACCAACTGAGGGTTGCTGGGGGCAGTGGGGAAGGGGACTAGGGTGGTTGGGTTATGGACACTGGGGAAGGTATGTGCTATGGTGAGTGCTATGAAGTGTGTAAGCCTGATGACTCACAGACCTGTACCTCTGAAACAAATAATATGTTAATAAAAATAATTTAATAAAAGATAACCACCCCAAAGTGCCAGAACGTTCTTTAAAGACATGTTTCTCTGAGGGCACCTGGGTGGCTCAGTTGGTTAAACCTCTGCCTTTGGCTCAGGTCATGATCCGGGGGTCCTGAGATTGAACCCTCTGTCGGGGAATCCCTGCTCAGCAGGGAGTCTGCTTCTCCCTCAGCCCCCTTCCCCCATTCTCTCTCTCTCTCAAATAAATAAATAAAATCTTTTTTAAAAAATAAAGACATGTTTCTCTGGTACTATGAAATTAACATACGTATAGCTCTTTAAAAATAGTGACCCAATAATTTTTCTGGCAAAGAATTTTCATTTTTCAAAAGAATTAGCAGGCGAATGCTACAAAGAGTCCACATAAAAATTAATGCTTGAAAATACATCAGTAGCAACTCACCTCCAATGAATCCAACACACAAGTAAAGTTCCTGTACAGTGCTGGAGAATGAAGCCGCAATCAAGCCACAGCCCGACAAGCAGCCACCAACAATCATGACTGGACGACTGCCATACCTATTCACCAGGATACTGCTGATCGGACCTAGGAGAAACCAGAAATTTAGTAGCATAGAGGAGAAGCCACCCCTCACATCCACACCTGCACAAGGCATTACTGACAAGAAAGGATGCCAAGGCATAAACATCCCCATCCCACCCTCAAAACAAATGTAAAACAGAAGACAGCGGTAAGAAATACTGCTTTCTATTTTATTTCAGAGCCACAGGTTTGTGTAATGGGAAAAATATAGCATCGATTGTACAAAGTACAACATATGTCTTCTCTGTACCTAGAACCTACTGGATGGATTTTAACTGAAGGATGGAAGACCTGAACCGATTTCCTTCAAGGCAGATGAGGCTGCAGATACCCTGATTGCAAGTGTTGACAGGATTCTTCATGTAGATGTATCCCAGATCCATGTAGCCTACATATCTAGGATATTATCAACATATATGTAGCAAGTTTGCTCTATTTTTAATTTTTTAGGTGGTCACCTGGAGCAAATGCACATGAACATGAAGCAATGTATGAGCAAATCCGATCAAACTTCGGGTTTTAGTGCACGTTTTCAAATTAGCTGAAATGGGCTTTGTTTCTCATAGAAAATGACAAAACCAAAACAGAACTACAAAACAAGAATGCCTACCATCACCACTTTTCTTCAGCATTATACGGGAGGTCCGAGGCAGTGCGGTAAGACAGGGGGCAAGAAGGGTGTGAGGAAAGGAAGAAACCAAACTATCAGTATTTGCTAAGGATAAGTTTGTCTATCTTAAATTTTTGAAAAAAAAAAAAAATCTACCAATAAACTATTAGAAGTAATAGAGGTTAGCAGGGATATATAATTAAAGCACAAGTATCAATTGACTTTCCATATACCAGCAACCAACACAAAACCATTTTTAAAGAAAGTTCTCCTTTATAATGATATTTGTTTTGCAATATAACTGACTTAAACAGCACCTTTATCATTAAGGGGAATGAAAAATATGACTCCAGCCACATAGCTTCAAAAACTAACATGTTAAATTCTTACACGTAAAGGCATCAAGAACAAAAACCATTCACTATGGAGCTTTTGTTGGTCTACTGAAAATTAAAAGAGCAGACCTTCTGGGTACTTACCACCAGCATACATGACAGCAAACATAATAGAAGAGATCCATGACACTTCGCTGGTGCTGGCATTAAATATTTCTTCAATTTCTTTGTAAAAGACAGAAATAGATTTGCCAAATGCACAAGAGAAGCCGATGGATACAAATGCTCCAACGACCACTGCCCACCCCCAGCCTCCATCTGGGGGGGTGGGTCTAACTGGACCTTCATTTGATGGTGACATTGGAAGTAACGAAGAATTCCGAAATGCAGTTCAAATCCAAATATCTAAAGGATATGAAATTAAAATAGTACATAATAAGTAGGTCAATATAAAGCACTTCCATAAAATCTCTTGCACTTACATTATAAATAACTGGAATTATTTTCAATGTTACCTGCATTCTGTGAACACAGTAAAAAAAAAATCCAAGCGTCATTTCTTTGCATAAGCTTAAAGTTGCATAGGCTTAAAGTTGAAAACTCACCACTACTTGAATCATACACCAAAATCCTTTTCAATCCTTTGCAATAAATATACTGCTTCTTCAAACTTATATTATAATAATAATATATTAATAATTATTAATATCAATTATTATTATATATACTAATAATATATAATAATATTATTATATTATATCTGTTCTAATAATAGATGTCAGTAATTTAAGTAATTCACTTGACTTATCTGTGTGCAAAACTCAATGCACATACTAAAAAAGCTTCACATCTAGGTACTTCCTTTATAATTTCTCTCGTTTCCCAAAATAAATTCTGCCATACTCATCCGATTTTTCTGTTCTCTAGAATTCATAGGCTAAGTTAAAAATTTCAGGAAGGACCTATTAATATCCCATAACTCAGTAGACATATAGCAATTTTCAAAAGAAAAGTTCTTTCCGGAGCGCCTGTGGGTTAAGTCTCTGCCTTTGGCTTGGATCATGGTCTCATGGTCTCTCTTTCTGTCAAATAAATAAATAAAATCTTAAAAAAAAAAAAAAGAAAAGTTATTTCAGCTTTGGGGCTATTATGAATAATGCTACTATGAAATTTTGTGTGCAGGTTTTTGTGTGGACAACTTTTTTATTCTTTTGGGTGAATACTTAGTAGAAATGCTAGGTCACTTGGTAATTCTGTCTAACATTTTGAGAAACTGCCAAACTTTTGCAAAGTAGCTGCACCATTTTACAGCTCCACCAGCAATGTAAGAAGGTTCCAATTTTTCGACATCATCACCAATATTTGTGATGTCTCCTTATGACTTTTAACCATCCTAATGTGTGTGAAGTAGTAACTCATCATTATTTTGATTTTTATAGGTCTTTGGAGAAATGTCTTCTTTGGAGAAATGCCTATTCAAATTCTCTACCTATTTTTTCTATTAGGTTTTTTTTACCATTCAGTGGTAAGAGTTCTGTATATACAGGCATACCTCAGAGATATTGCAGGTTCAGTTCCAGACCACTGAAATAAAGCAAATATTGCAATAAAGCAAGTTAAATAAATTTTGGTTTCAAGAATTTTCAAAAAATTTGGTTTCAAAAATTGTGCATATAAAAGTTGTGTTTACACTATAGTGTCTATTGAGTGTGCAATACCATTATGCTAAAAAGACAATGTATACACCTTAACTTAAAAATACTACATTGTTAAAAAAAAAAAAAAAACTTAATTGTTGGGACACCTGGGTGGCTCAGTCGGTTAAACATCTGTCTTCGGCTCAGGTCATGATTCCAGGGCCCTGGGATCAAGTCTCACAACAGGCTCCCAGCTTAGCGGGGAGCCTGCTTTTCTCCCTCTGCCTACTACTCTCCCTGCCTGTGCTCACTTGCTCTTTCTCTGTCTCTGACAAATAAATAAATACAAAATCTTAAAAAAACAAAAACAAAAAAAACTTCAGGGGCTCCTGGGTGGCTCAGTGGGTTAAAGCCTTTGCCTTCAGCTCAGGTCATGATCTCAGGGTCCTGGGATCGAGCCCCTCATCAAACTCTCTGCTCAGCAGGGAGCCTGCTTCCCCCTCTCTCTTTGCCTGCCTCTCTGCCTACTTGTGATCTCTGTCTGTCAAATAAATAAAATCTTTTTTTAAAAAAAACCTTCATTGTTAGAAAATTGCTAACCATCATCTGAGTTTTCGGTGAGCGCAATCTTTTTGCTGGTGGAGGGTCTCGCCTGGAGGCTGATGGCTGCTGACGAGCAGGGTGGTGGTTGCTGAAGGCTGCGGTGGCTGCAGAAACATCTTCATGTAAGATGAGAGTGAAGTTTGCCACATTGGTTGACTCTTCCTTTCATGAACAATTTGCAGCATGTGATGCTGTTTCATAGCATTTGACCTGCAATGGGAATTCTTTCAAAACTAGAGGAACCTTCTCAAACCCTGCTGGGCTGGGTCAACGAAGTTCATGTCGTATTCTAAATCCTCCGTTGTCATTGCAACAGTCTTCACAGCGTCTTAGCATCTTCCATCTCAAGAAATCACTTTCTTTACTCATGCATCTGAAGCAGTTCCTCACCCATTAAAGTTTTACTGTGAGACGGAAGCAATTCAGTCCCATCTTCAGGCTCCACTTCTAATTCTGGTTCACTTGCTGTTCCCACCACATCTGTAGCTACTTCCTCCACTAAAGTCTTGAACCCCTCAAAGTCATTCATGAGGGCTGGATTTAACTTTCTCCAAACTGCTTTTAATGTTGATACTGTGACCTCTTCTCATGAATCACAAATGTTCTTAGTGGCATCTAGAATAGTGAATCCTGGGGTGCCTGGGTGGCTCAATCAGTTAAGTGTCTGCCTTCGGCTCAGGTCATGATCCCAGGGTCCTGGGATCCAGCCTGTGTTGGACTCTGCGCTCAGCTAGGAGTCTGCTTGAGATCCTCTCCCTCTCCCTCTTTGTCTGCCCTTCCCCCCACTCATGCATGTGTTCTCACTCCCCCCTAAAAAATAAAAAAAATAAATCTTAAAAAAAAAATAGAATGGTGAATCCTTTGCAGAGTTTTTAAATTTACTTTGCCTAGATCCATCAGAGGAATCACTATTTATGGCAGCAATCACTTTATGAAATGTATGTCTTAAATGATGACCATCGAAAGTCGAAATGACTCCTTGATCTGTGGGCTGGAGAATGGATGCTTGTTAGCAGGCATGAAAATGATATTAATCTCATAGTACATTTCCATCAGAACTCTATAGTGACAAGGTGTATGGTGAATGAGAATAATATTTTAAAAGGAATCTCTCTCTCTCTCTCTTTTTTTTTTAAATAAGCAATAGGTCTCAACAGTGGACTTAAAATATTCAGTAAACCATGGTGTAAGCAGATGTGCTGTCATCCAGGCTTTGTTGTTCCATTTACAGAGCACAGGTGGAAGAGATTTAGCAGAGTTCTTCAGGGCCCCAGGGTTTTCAGAAGGGCAAATGAGCACTGGCTTCCTCAAAGTCACCAGCTGCATTAGTCCCTCTCCAGAGAGTCAGCCTTTCCCTTGAGGCTTGGAAGCCAGACACTGACCTCTTCCCTCTAGTGATGAAAGACCTAGATAGCATCTTCCAAGAGGACACTGTTTTTCCTGCACTGACAACCTCTTTTTTGCACGATCACCTTCATTCATGATCTGAGCTGGATCTTCTGGAGAACTTGCTGCAGCTTCTACATCAGCACCTGCTGCTTCGCCTTGTGCTTTTCTGTTATGGAGATGGCTTCTTTCCTTCAACCTCATGAAACCAAACTCTGCTAGCTTCCAGCTTTCCTCACCTCTAGCAGCCTTCACGGAATTGACAAGAGTAGGGCCTTGCTCTGGGTTAGGCTTTGGCTTAAGAGAATGTTGTGGCTGGTTTGGTCTCCTATCCAGATCACTGAAATTTTCTCCATATCAGTAATAAGGCTGTTTCGCTTTCTTATCATTTGTCCATTCACTGGAGTAGTGCTTTTAATTTCCTTCAAGAACTTTCCCTTTACTCACAACTCAGCTGTTTGGAACAAGAGCCCTATAACTTTTGGCCTATTTTGGCTTTCAACATAACTTCCTCACTAAACTTTAGCATTTCTACCTTTTGATTTGAAGTGAGAGATGTTCGACTCTTCCTTTTGCTTGGACACTTAGAGACCCTTGTTGGGTCTCTAATTGTAATATTGTAATAAGGCCTGATTGTAATATTGCTGTGTCTCAGGGAATAGGGAGGCTTGAGGAGGGAGAGAGCGGAGGGAACTGCCGGTTGATGGAGCAGTCATAAAAGACATAACATTTATCGATTAAGTTCACTGTTTTCTGTAGGTTTGGTTTGTGGCACCCCAAAACAATTACTATAGTAACAACAATGATTACTGATCATAGATCATCATAACAAATATAATAATAATAAAGTTTGAAATATTGTGAGAATTATCAAAATGTGACACAGAAACATGAAGTGAGCTAATGCCGTTGGAAAAAACGGCACTGATAGACTTTCTTGACTCAAGGTTGCCATAAACCTTCAATTTGTAAAAATACACAATAAATGCAAAGATCAATAAAACAAAGCATAATAAAACAAAGTACGCCTGTATTCGAGATACAAGTTGCCTATCAGATAAATGAATTGTAAATATTTTTCCCATTCATTGCGTTGTCTTTTCACTCTTTTTTGTGGTGCCTTTTATTTTTATTTTTTTTTTTAAGATTTTATTTATTTATTTGACAGACAGAGATCACAAATAGGCAGAGAGGCAGGCAGGGAGAGGAAGGGAAGCAGGTTCCCCGCTGAGCAGATGTGGGGCTCCATCCCAGGACCCTGGGATCATGACCTGAGCCGAAGGCAGAGGCTTCAACCCACTGAGCCACCCAGGCGCCCCTTTGTGGTGCCTTTTAAAACACAAACATTTTGATGAAGTCCTATGTATTTTCTCTTTTGTTGCTTGTGCTTTTGGTGTCATATCTAAGAGACCATTGCCTAATCCAAGGTCACAGAGATTTACTACTAAATCTCTAAGTTTTCTTCTAAGAGGTTATAGTTGTAGCTCTTACATTTAGGTCTGATCCATTTTGAGTTAATATCTGTAGGGTAGGGATAGGAGCTTTATTGAGATAGGGGTCTGAATTCATTCTCTAGCATAAGGATATCCAGTTATTCCAGCACAATTTATTGGAGAGACTATTATTTCCCCATTGGATGGTCTTGGCTCCCTTGCTGAAAATCAGTGGACCAATGATGTATGGGTTTATTTCTGGACTCTCCATTCTATGCTAGTAATCTATACATCTTGCCTTC